CTGTGGCTCTAGACATTAGTAGTACAATCATAGGTCGTACATGTTTGCCTTCAGCTTGTGTATAGTATTTCGCAACAGTATCAAGAGAAGGATGCCCGGATCCAAGAAGTTGCCTTATATTGCCAGTCAAAAACTTCATCTCTTTCGCAACCATCCGTAAAGGGTCTATCGAATTGGCTCCTCCTGTCGCCCGGGTGGTAGCATTTGAAAACACATTGGACGCCACTGATACAGCCTGCGCCCAAGTCGATTGCTTCCGCCTTGTAGAGTTGTGATGGTATGAATGACTGAGTATAGGACGTAATGATGCCGTGCAAACTAATTGGCACCGAAAACATGCGCCATCGACTTGCGTTCTGGCTATGGAGGAACTGGGGAAGAGCTTCGAAGCCCTCATTGAATAATTCCTCATGGCCTGTAAAACCCCCACTATGTCGAAATACCAGCTTTTCTTCGCGCAAAAGACAGTCTCAATACTCAATTTCCCGTATCAGTACCTCGAAGTCAAAAGCGGCCGTAAGAGTTCTTATAAACCTAGTATATATGAAAGAATGTAAGGAATATAAAAATTATTCCCCGCAAGATTCCGAGCATGAATATTTCGGTTGGACTAGACCAATGTCGGACAAGTTAAATGCCGATAAGTAACTTTTACCTAACGTGGTTCATATACGAGTGGATCATATCACCGAATGGATCACTCCATTTCACATACAAAATTCGTCTGTGTGTAACCGTGCACTTCCCTTATTTATTAATATAAAATCTCAGAAATCTGATATATAATATTTAAATCTATAAGAATTTTAAAAATCTAATTATATTTTGAAAATTCGAATGAATATAAGAGTTATTATGAAATTAACTTCTCTGTAATGAAAAGCGTAACAATTTCAGTAATATAATAAGAACTTTTATATAAAAATTCGATTTCTGAATATTGATTATTTTATTATTATTAATAGCTTTTTCTTTCTCAAAAAATATTGATTTATTATTAAAATATGAATATTAATAAAACCTTGAATTTGGTGTGATTTTGAAGTGATCCATTCGGTGATATGATCCACTCGTATATGAACCACGTTATAAGCTTTGAAAGAGGAATGATATTGGAGCTATCACAGACATCTGAGATTGTGGTGATATACTTGATACATTCATAGAAATGAGAAAATGGTTCTCCTTACCATGACTCCGACTATAGTCGAAGCATTACAAATTCTCCATAAATTCGAAAATGCCCATTCTCATGACGAGCCAACACAGCTGCCTAGTGAACAGCGAACGGAGAGAGAAATCAAAGAAGACAACCTGAAAACCTTCTCGGAAAACAAAGTACAATTGAATACAGAAGACAACAGGACAGATGCAGATGTCACCGAAGAAAATAGCCAGACGAAATCGCCAGCCCAGCGGGATTTGTCCACAGCGAGTTTAGAAGCCGCAAATGTTGCAGAAAATGCAAAGCTGTCGCAGGAACAGCTGTTAGCAAATCCTGAAATTGGGAATCCTATATCTCATGGTCGAATCATTGATCTATCTCGAAATTTAAGGAAACACAATCTTTCACCGCTCACTTTGGAGCTCTTGCTTCGAGGGTCTCGTGTCTATGTTGTACCTCCCACACCAAAGGCGGAGCCTGTAAGTTATGATTCAAATCTACCAATGCCAACTCAATGTGATCAATGAAATGGGCTTGATCAGGATATTCACTATATGTTTCAAGTGGCACATGTTCGGAGTTGGGCGACAGGCATCTAAGCTAACATTATATCATCTGTAGACGTCGGAATACAAAGCTCTAATGGCGAGACTTCGACGCGAAGAAGAAGCTCGAGCTTATGAACGAATGACAAATCCACCGCCTCCCATGGAGACATTTGCACAAAGAATTCCATCTACATCAGCCGCTCATGCTTTTACTGCCAACTTTCCAGAAACAGGAAACACCGGGGATGACGACGTTACATATGCGGACATCGATCGACAAATTGCTGTTATATTTAATGTCATAGTATCTATTATTGCTTGTGCATTTGGTTTATGGATGGCTGCAAGATGGTGGAGCACACCTGCCCGATTAGCTTTGAGTATGAGTGGTAGTCTCCTGGTTGGCATTGCCGAGGTGGTAGTTTACATGGGCTACATCAGACGAGTAGGAGAAGCCAAAGGGCAAGCGAAGAAGCTGCAGGAGGTCAAGGAGGTAATGAAGACATGGGTAGTTGGTGGCGATGCAACGGATGAACGAACAGAGCCTGTCATAATTGGTGAAAAAGATGACATCGAAGATGCAAAGCCACGCCGAAGAAAGAACGTTTGATACAAGCTCAGGAAGCTCAGTTTGAGATTCCTAGAGGTGTGTCATATTTTGACCTCTTAATCATTAATATCAGACGATGTTGATGGCTCTGTAACAATAATCGGGAATTCGCGGCTTACCGCAGGCCGAAATCTGTTACGAGTTTTAAATTAGATATACAGCAGTCTACCGTGTTTACTCAAATTATTGTAGGTACGCATTGGTTCCAAAAAGTAGAATATATGCGGCAAAGATTTTGAGACAGGCGGCTAATCGACGAAACAGAGGAGTGAGAGGATTGCTTCATCGCATCCCACGATCAATTGGCGCTAACATTAGAGGAGATCTGCGAGACAAGAACTTTGTCCATCATGAGGATATATATATTTAGTTGATAATATCCCTAGAAAGTTCTTAGAACATTCAGTCACATTCCTTCGAGTCAAGAACAATATATTTTTTGTTTCCATCGCGAATCAAAAGACTTCGCTTCGAATCCACCCAACATCTATTTTTAGATACGGGACAATCCCATTCCAACAAATATATCAAGCACATTGCATGACCTTCAACATCCTTCTCCATTCAACTCTCCATTCATAACGATTTCATGATTCATCCCAGCAATTAGTTCAAAATTGTCAACTACCAAGTTCCTGCAATATACTCTATCTCACCGCAGCTTCTGAGAAGCACAAGATTAGGTCCTTCTAGCCACGATCAGTCACGCCCATAACTACTTTTTGAAAGGATCACCAATTCTGATTATACCTGCATTGTCAATATTATGGATTCTCTTGCTGAATATCAACAACAATTGCTATCCTTGGAGCATGAGAACAAGCAGCGACAGGCCCGCGCACGAAAGGCTAAGACATCTCAAAATGGCTCCTATATGTGTGATCCTGCGGAATCCCCGTGCCTTGTGGATGTACAATTGGAAACACTACGTAGGAGCATGACTTTTGACTCGCATGGGGGAAAGACAGATTCGACAACATCGAGGTGATGCTTTTGCGTTTTTTCAATGCAGTTGTTTCTTTGCCGGGCTGGGACATTTTATGGGGGTTATGGCAGGAATAGATTTGGGATAGGTCAACAAGGATTAGAAGGAACTTGGTACGGCGGTTTTGGATTCGAGAACAGAGGATATAGGCAAATTCCTCACTTCTGATATGTGCTGGCACATACAACGCCCAATGTTCAATAGAAGGATAGAGCGTGGACTCGGGATAATTTAATACGCCCGGTGTTGCTAGCCGTGTATGTTCGTACATTCGTACGTTCAATAGATCTCAAGACGTTCTTGCGCCTTGCTCTGTTGTATTAAAGGTTGAAAAAAAGTACACACGATTAATAGACATCATAATGCATTAGCTTTCACATCACGATTAAACTAATGCCCTGAATTAATGTCGACGAGTGATGCAGCTTTCCTCCATCCGGCTTGGCTAGATTGCTGTGCCGCCGCCACAGTCGGGCACAGCCACTAGCCTTCTCCAAACTATCACATTGTCGAGGTCCTTCTCACAGTTCGTGTCTTCATGATTCGAGGCATTAATCATGATCTTTCATTCCTTTTTCCCTCTTTCCCTTTTATCATATGGCACTCGCCCGCCAGCCTCATCTTCTCCCGTCCCCGCCCTATATTCCTTGTTCTCACTTTTTGATATCTTCCCTGCATCTTCAGCCTCATGTGTCAATCGGGCCTCAGCGATGTTCCCGTACCAACATCCTCGGTCTTGTCTGAATTTCAGGTTTATTTAAACCCTTTCGTCTGCCTATTTTACTCTGACTATTTGCATGAGAGATTATTTGTATGAGGGATTAAATTATCCAATCTGTTATTCAGGTGTCTGGTCAAAAATTGTCCCTCTACTCCTACATACATGCAGTTGGTTTCGGATTTATATTGGGCTAGAATATGAGGTAAGTTGGGATGCGACAAGGTGAGATGCAGGAGGTTGAGATGGGAGAGATGATATCCGAGATCGGGTTCTGAGCTTACCTTACTACACTATTTCGTGCAGTGTACGAAGATGTTGTGGTGAGGCACATTATCTTGGGTATATTCTGAGATTGGGATGCTATTGATGTTGTGCAAGGCATATTGAAAAATAGGCAGGAGAGCATGAGAACACATCATGAGTCAGAGGTGTTAGTACTCTCTCTTTCATACCTTATGGTTTAGAATGGAGTTTCAGTCGCAGCCTTGGAATTTCTTCGACATGGTTGATATCTGGGGTACCTTGCATCCTTGCCCGGAAGGATTCATTCTTTTTGTCTTCTAGAAAGAAGGCTGCCTCTTGGCTTCTAACACATCATCACGGCAGAACACATATTTACAAGTGAATACTTGGTTAGCTATCAATGGAGATACAATATGAATATGATTTCCCTTTTCGTCACCGAGTGCATCGTACGCCTCACAGAATACATATCATGTAGAATCGAACCTACAACAATCTTATCTCGATGATCCCATGCTCTCTTGTTGATTTTTCTCTCCGCTTTCCCCTCACCATCGACCGATATCCATGTCCCAAATCCTCGTTCTATAAAATTTACTGCGTATCCCGTTCCACACTTCAATCAATGTATTATGAACCGCTCATTCTTCGACCCATATTCATTAATCGTCAACAGATCAACTCCATTTTTATATAATGATACTCACTCAATTTATCTCCATACCATAATGCCCTCCCGCAAACTCAACACCTCTCCCAACACCAACAACAACCCATCGACCTCCTTTCCCAAACCCCACAACACCTTCCACCAAAACAACTGGATAACAATGACCGAAACTACAATATCCGAAGACGCAGATATCAAATGTACCCCCATGCCAAACCAAAAAAAACCTACTTCACCAGTGATAGATATCTCAACAGATAGTTCGTACGTACCTATACATCCATCTAGCCTTACATGTGTCACATTCAAGGCAATACTACCTACCCACTCGGTTCTAACATCTCCTAGTACTTCTCATTATATCTCAATACCCGAGAGAGAAACCTCATGTGAAGCCTCATATGAAGCCTCGTGCTACATTGGGCGAGAGACAGAGATAGGGACAGCGACAGGGTTTCCTCGCTACTCACCGCGCGTTGTGGATCAACCGCCTCGGTTCTTGGAGAGAGATGGTTGTAGATGTGATATTGATAGCGGCTTCGATATGGAAATCAATCCAGACAATGATGATGATAATGATGAATATCATTACACATCCACACCCACATATACACACACAACCGAACCATCCTCATTCCCGTCCCCATCCCCATCCCCGTCCCCACCTCACCCGTCTCATCCTCATCCTTATCCTCACTCCCCTCACTCCCCTCCACCCCAATCCTCCCAACTCTCCCACATCCCCCGCACCCCTCACTCTCTGCACATCCCCTCCCTCATCTCATTCTTTCCCGCCCTCAAAAACCGCGATGAACACTTCACTACCTATTTCAAAAACGTCCACTTCTTCAAAGATCACATCAGTATACCCCGAGAACCAGAATCCGAATCCGGGTCCCAATCTCGTGACACCTCAGATCCAGATTCAGAATTAAATCCAGATGATTCCCCACGCGATGAGCAATCAAAGGAAGAAGAAGAAGAAGAAGAAGATAAAAAACAGCAGCAACAGAACTTCATCCCCGAAGACAAAGGAAACAAAACGATAGATCCTCGTATCCGCATTGATAGGGGTGAGTCTTCGCCGCGCACTTCTTCTATTCTTCAGATTTCCGTTCTAGATGAGGAGGTCGATCATGAGAGTTACGAGCGAGATCCGTATCCCGAGAGTGAATTTGATATTTCTTCTACATCGTCGTCGTCAGTGTCAGAAGATAAAGTAGATGGATGTTAGGAAGATCTCAAAGTGCTGATGCGATGGGGAATCCCCAACAACCACACACGAGGAAGATAAATTCATATTTAGCGATCAAACCACGATCTTCCTTCGAAATGATAGGAAAGTCAGGCGATGGGAGGGCATATTGCAGAAACCCATTGCATATCAGACACTCTGGAACAAGGACCAACAGGACAGGGTAGACTCGGCGTTATACATGTTTATACTTAACATTATATGAGTACTTCAGGAAATTTCATCACCTTAGGAAATCAAAAATCAAAAATAATCACCACTGCCAGAAAGCCTTATATTTTACCATCTGTATTCATTCTATCTACGATACCGTATGTTCGTTATTATGACTTTGTAATTAGTCTCCTAAAGTTTCTACATCTTAGATATGTATGCTCGCTTGCAGTCATTTGATATGTGCTAGCAAACCACCTAACTTTTTATGTTCCTTGAGACGCACTAACTTGTATAGGTGAACAATGTACAAAAACATAGCCCTTACACACCCTTAACTCCTCCAAATGGCCAAATTTCTTTTCTCCGGGTATCCTTCGCTCATAAGCTAACAAGCAAGCAATCCATCCATTGTGATAGTGTGTATCTTTCTTCCCGCTGTCCACCTTCTCGCATGTTTTATTCATTGATCAAGGTCAACGCTCGACTCTCTGCCAAAATATACACCTCCCTCACCATTAATACCAGGTGCCCTCTTCTTGATGACTTTGGCTGGAATATCTGACATATCGTCCATGGTACTCTCTGCATCACTCTCCGGATCGCCTTGACCATTTGGATAAACTTGACTAGACTCATCGAGGTCTGCACTTTCTTGTCTTAGCTCGCTATATCCTTCTTGCAATTCATGTTCTGGTGTAGCAGGAACTTGAAGCAGCTCATTTGGGTCTTGCATTTCGGAATCTTCGTCAGAGTCGACGGGAGAGTAGTTGTGAACAGAATCATCGAGGGGTATGTCTTCCGACTCACGGCCAATGGAATGCTTGTTCTTCTTGTTACCATTGGAGCCACTGCTACCGAGGTGAAACTGAGTAGATTGAGAAGTTTCATTACTACGATATTTATCGTTCAAATCGTACTGTGCATCAGCCATTTCAACATCTTCAGAATCTGAGTCAGGATCAGATTCTGGCTGGCGTTCTGGCTCACCATCACTGCTTTCTTCGACAATCTCTGTTCTAGCTGCCAGTTGACTCTTCTTCTTGTGTGTCGCCTGCTTTGTCTTCGATCGTGGTTTCTGAGCATCTTCACCATCGTCTTCGTCTTCAGATCGAGGCTTCTGCGCACTTGTTGGTACTCCATCATCGCTGTCGTTTTCGACGTCGCTATCCACTACCCTTTCAGTGCTCAATGCAAATGATTTGATTGGTTTCTTCACAGGAGCTGCACGTTTGGACTTCTTTGCCGAATCAGGAACTTGAACAGAATTATTAGCTTGCTCACTCTTCTGGTTGCCGGCAGAATTCTGATCTTCTTGTGATTCATCTGCCTTAAGCATGCGATGTCTCATCTTGACCTTGGAGCTACTACCACCAACATCGTAAAGCTCGGGGTTGTTCTCAAAGAGGGGACTGGTTTTCGATTTTCTGGTTCGCTTCTTGAGACCAGTCGATTCAAAAGGCAAGTCAACATAACCTTCGGGTTCATGAGGTGCTGATTGCTCATATGCTTCGATGAGTAGCTGAACATTCTCTTGAAGAGTCTTATTAGTATGGGTGTTAATATTATGTACCAAGCCACGGAGACAAATTCTCATTTCCATTGCATCGTGGTTTCGATCGAGCTTTTCATCAATCGCTCTCCAATCGATCTTACTCTCCGCTCCTGCTTTACTATCACGAATAGCCTTTAAAAATTGTAACTTCTCTCCAGCCAGAGTCTTGGTTGCTTCCTGATAACTTTTGAGGTTCTTCCAGCTATTACTGATTACAATACGTTCCGCGACAAGATCGTCTGTAGTAGCATGTTCTCGATTTTTAATTGACTTCCACTTTCGATAGCACTGAAGATGACTTCTGGAGAGATCCATGAGCTCACTGACTTTCATCCAGCTTATATCGTGTTCGTGATAAGTATCGTCATTTTCCTCCTCAGGAGTGAGCAGTCCCTCTCGACGTCTATCTTCGCGAACGAGGTCGATACACTTTTTGACAGCATCCTTGAGCTGGTGTTCTTCCTCAAGTTTCCACGGACCAAGTTCTAAATTTGTGACGGATAGGTAGTTTCTCCAGCGATCACGACAATCATCAGGCAAACGATTGAGCCGAGCACCGATGAGAGCCCACTTTTTAGGCATAGTCTTGAAGAGTTCCATCAATTCTTCATCTTGCTCGGGAGTCCAGACACCTCGTGCTGCATAGTTGTGAAAGTTTCTCCTACACCAACTCTGGAGGTTTCGCTTGGCAACATCAGGTACTTCCTCTGTCATGAAATCCCAAAATTTCTTTCCATCGTTGAGAGCATTGTTCTGAATGATGGTATTGAGAGCATGCTGTTCCAGGTCATTGTCGACACGATACAACTCCACGGCGTCTGCGATCTTTCTAGTTTCGTCTTCATTGAGTCTTCCATTGCCATCCCTTGATCTTGTGGCAGATTGACTTCTGCTGCGTTTCGGTTTAGCTCCGCTCGAAGGATCTTTCTTGGCCTTGGTGGACTTTTTATTAGTCGATTTTTCGGATGTTCCCTGTTTTTGCTTTTGCTTCTTGCCCAATTTTGGTGTTTCCATTGACACTAGAGAAGGCTCATCAACAGGCAAATACCGCTTTCGACGAGTGGTTGATGTATCCACCGACTTTCCCTCATACTCCGAAGTATCATCCGAGGACTCTTGAGTATTCCCAGAAGATGCTGATCTTCTATCAGAAGCAGTCCAGCCTGCCATTTCTTCATTTCCAGAACGACTTGTTCTTACCGCAGGTGATGAAACAGCCACATCAACATTCGATGCAGGTTGTCTCATCTTTTGCTTAATTTTTGATGCAGTCACAGTAGAACCTCCATTTTGAGAATCATCCGAAAACATTGAGCGAATGTCACCGTTTCTGGGATCTGGATCAATTTGTTTTCTTTTCTTCGATTGTTGTTCAACTTGTTCATCAACAGCTGGCCTCTTCCCAAGAGCCTTTGCAGATAGAACAGCTGGCTCTGATTCCAAGCGACGATTCTTGCCTGCAGAAATGAATTGATTCAGGAGTGCAGCCGAGTTTGCATCGCCAGCTTCCGTTCGCTTGACTTTCGGAGTCTTTGTTTTAGCGACAGATTTTTTGGCTTTTGACTTTGAGGGTATTGATTTGTCTGAAGCATGACTTTTATTGCCCTGGGCCTGAGCACCATTTTCCTCATTGTTTTCTTGTGAATGATCTCTCTTGCTAGTATTCGATTTCAAAGGGTACGATTCGTCTCCGAAATGGTTGTTTTCAGCATCTGCTAGAGGGTCTTCGTCAATTAAGATCGGACTTTGATTTCGATCGCGAGCTTCCTCATTCCCTTGCGCAACTTCTGATGCAAATATCTTCTCCAACTTTGACTTTCTCTTTTTCTTGGATTTTTCGTTTGCATGGGTCAAGTCCGCTTCAGCTTTAGTCTCTGTTTGTTGGCGAATTTCCTCTCCACCTAGCGGTTCCAAATTCAATGTGCTTGATCTGTGGTTTTTGCGGCGATTTTTCTTTTTCGAAGCCGAATCGGTGATTGCCATCTCGCCTTCAGGTTCTTGATATTCTGTATCTTCCAATTGTGCTGCGTCAACTGGCTCATTTGGAACATCATCTTCATAGCTAGTCCGCGATTCTTCTGGGAGAGACTTTCGATGCTTGCGCATTTGTTTCGATTTTGATTGTTTAGTGTTGCCCCATTGAGTCAATTCTGCTGTACCAAGCTCTGGCTGGTCAGCTTGCCCAGATGGGTAAGCTTCTGAGCTTGCCTCTTGTCCATGCACATCCTCGGTATGTGCGTTCTGATTTGACTTTCGGTGTCTTCGCTTTTCCTTTTTTGAGCTCAATTCTGAGGCTGGTGTAGGTGAAGGAGCTGGATCTCGTTCTGACGCGCCGACATCGTCCGGGCTTTCTCGAATGCCAGCAATCCTATATTCTCTCTGCAGAACACTTGCTGATCCACCCATACTCTTCTTCTTCTTCTTCTTATCCTTCTTGTGCTTTTTTGTACTAGTACCAGTGTGGTCATCTATGCTACCATATTGGTCACTTGCAGGTTCTCGTGAATTATCCATGATGAGATCTCTCTTCCGGAGAGATAGATTTGTTTCGGATTCTGAATACGGAAGTGACAATCAGTTTTCTACCCCAATACAATTATGCCAAGTACAATTGGGGAGATGTGCAACATTCTCAGGTTTCCCAAAAGCAAATAACAAAAAGGTTTGATCTACCTTGAATTATCTTATCAGTTTGATCACTTATCGGATCCTCTTCCAAATTCTCGAGTTCCAGCTGTGAGGAGAATAATCCTTTGGCCCAACTTAACATGCTTTGCGATTCATATTACAGTGAAATTCGATTGTGTGAACTTTGTTGAAGGAATTGTCAATGGTTGTAAGTATAAAGGAGGGGTTGTGTGTGAGAAATTGACTCGAATCAACTTTGGCGTCGTACTGATATTGATTTAACTTGATGATTTTAATTTTTGGGAACTGTAGATCTAGCGGCCGCTAGATAGAAGAGCACCTAATAAGGATCTGTTAAAGCCTCAGCTCGGACCTATTTGTATGTTTATTAGTCAGATCGGCTAAGCCTCGGATCTCTTAGGAGGGATTGAGGTCTTTGACTGTGCAGAACAAGATATTTGACTTCCTATCACGTCCAACATCCATTAAACCTTGTACTCACTTCTTCTTTTCAAGATCTTTCATATGGATATGCCATGCATGGACAATTCACATGTATATAAGAGCTGAGAGTCACTGTGCCGGTGACTGTGTCGGTGCTTTGAGTAAATGACAAGAGGAATCAACAAACGAACTATATGTC